AAGCAGAGAATGGGAAACTTAGGTCCTCCATGTGTTTTGAACTCCAATTCTCACAATCTTTTATAACTGGTCATATAAGAAGAGCTGGTAGCAATTGTAGCCAAAACATCTGAAAAACTAAAGGTTCCCCAGCTCTGTTTTAAAACTATCTGTGTTCGTGTTTTTACTACATGATTTGGTGTTGAATTCCCTAAGCTAACAATGCACAGTTTGAACATGTACTTCCTTTCATTTGTTCTTGCTGCTAAATCCACTGGTTTCTAATCAAGTTAGCATCAACAAGCTTGCTGTGCTTTTTGATCATAGTCTAAGAATTCTGTTCTCTCCCTAATGAAACTTCAGAGATGTGTTTCTTTGGTCATTTTGTCCTACATACATTTTTGAATACAAGTGGAGAATGGCATGCGACTTTGGAAGCCATTCGTAGAGGAACAAACCCATTCATTTGCTTACCACTGATGTAAACTGAAGTACAAACCCAAATTATGGAGGGTTGGGGAAAGATTAGTTAGAGTTATACAAAGCTTTTTGGTTCAGTCGCATTCACTGAATTAAATTCATGTATTTAGGATGGGTGTTGTCAGCATTTACCTTGCGTGCCCTCATTTCCCCAGGACCTTCAAGGTGTTCTTAATTAAGTAGTTTATCAGAATTGTACATGTTGTAGTTGAAGTTCTTTTTTAAAAAAGCATTTAGAGAAGTGCCAAACATCCACCACAAGGAATGTTGTGCGGTGTGATGACTTGACCTGATTATGGAGGAATGCCTTTGATGCAACCAAAATTGCTTCAAGAACATTCAACTTTGATAACACTCCTCTCAGTAGTACAAGCTTGTCAGCAATCAAAAGGATTTATGCATCAGCCAATACTGGCATATTTGAAGAAGTTCAGTGCTGAAAATCCCATGTGAGATGCTTCAGTCTGATAGACTGTCACCATGGCCTGTTTGAGATACTCAGAAGGAAACACTCTTAGAAGGACTTCTAATACTCAGAAGGTCCACTTCTATAGAGAGTGCAGATGTCAACTCCAGAAATTTCTGAAAATTGCCCCTGAAGAATGCCAATTGGATGAAATGTGTTGGGCTTTTAAAGAAATAAAAAGTTTTTGACCATCACACAGCAAGTGGGACTTGTCTCCTTTTATTCTTCCATTATTTTAGTAGGGAGAAAAAATTCTTAGCCTCAGACTTTGAGAAATCAATGGAGAAGACTTCTAGAAGTTAGGGAACACGCACCAAGAATACTTTTTAGTATATTTAGTAGAATCATAGAATCATAGAGTTGGAAGAGACCACAAGGGCCA